GTCTCCCCCCTCTCCCCTCCCTTTCTTTCGTTCCTTCTTTCCTTCTCTCTCTCTCCCCCCCTCTCCCTCCCTCTTTCTCTCTCTCTCTCCCTCCCTCTTTCTCTCTCTCCCATGTGCTGTGTTCAGTCTGCAGGGACTGAGATCCTCACTAGCTAGTGGACCTTTCCCAGCTTCTCGGAAAGATTGTTCTTCCAGCTGTAGCTCCAACAGGTGTTGGCACTGCCTTCGCTCGTGGTTGTGGCGTGCATTTAACAGGCGATGGTGCTAATGTGATGGGGAAGACTGGAATAAACAGGCAGTGCTGCTTTCAAGCTGTGCAGGTTTCAGTGAGGGTGTCTGGAAAGAGGTTGGCATGGAAGTTTGGTGGAGAAGGAAAACTCTGTGTGTGGAGCCGTATTAGCCTGGCTTAGGTGTATTGGTCCTGCTGGCCTCTGGAGGCAGATGAGTTTGGAATCCCTCCAATGGGATTGGGATGAGCAAGGATGTGCTGCACCTTTTCCTTCCCAGCCCTCGCCTTGCCAGTGCAGGATCCGGTAATTACAGCCCGTCTGCTGGATGCATCATCCCGCTCAGCAAAGCTGCCCAGCCAGGGAAGAGCAGAGGTGGGTTCCTGCTCACGGCCTTTGCCTGCGAAAGGGAAAATTTAAAACTTGGAAAGAAAAGAGAACAGATTGTGTCTTTTTCACCCTGCTGCAAGCAGAATATAGCGCATGCTAACCAGAGTTTCAAAGAAAGGTTAGTTTACATAGAAATGAAGTTGGGAAAATAGGGAAGGCCACCGTGTGGACTGCAGAAAGTGAGACATTTGTCTATTAAAGTTATTACTTAGCTCCCCAGAGTGCCTCGGGTTGATGTATTTAATGAAGGAAAGTACTCAAAGTGTTGAACGTGCTTTCAGTGTCCTGTAAGGCCCACGCTGTGTTTTGGGGACTTCTCTGTTTTTCCAAATGAGGATTGCAGGTGAGGCCATTTCAGTGTGGACTTTTGAAATCTGAGTCTGCCAGGGGAAGCCTGCTGCCCATCAGCACCACGTTTCCCCCTCCCAAGAAGACAAAATGCCCATTGCAGCATTCCTGGTGTCGCCAGGGTAAAAGGGCAGCCAGCTGGTTCAGGGCTTTGACACCGCTGGACCTACTTAATAGCTTTGCAACTGTATATTCATCCTCAAAACATCTGTCCGTGTTCCCTGGGCTTACAGTGTGCTTTGTTATGAACAAGGACACCGAGAAAAATCAGTTGACACATCAAGGCAAGGAATGAGATTTTTATATACATATATATATATATTTAAGTTGTCATGTGTCCTGGGAATCGTTCATATCTCACAGCTAGCGAAGTTGCCACCTTGCAATGTGCTTCCCTGCCCTCTGGAAGGCTCCGAGTCCTGTATCCAGTGTATTTCTGTGCGAGCTACAAGCTGATGCCCAGAATAATTCCAGTTAGCGATGCCATGCGAGCAGGGCCGAGTTATCCCGTACTTCGCCATGGGGTATTGTACAGCTCTGGGCTGTGCCTCGTGTGGCTTCTGGCTTCCCCTACAGTGCTTGCCTGGTCCTGGGATTCCCTTTTTAAACACACAGGAAAAATGTGGATTTCTGCTTCGGGTGGGACACATACTTTTTTGGTGCCCACCTTCTCCCTCATGGGTTAATGTGGTAGCAACTTGGATGAGAAGACCACAGTGCTGGGGAAGCTCATCTGGCAGAAGGAGAGGAGTTTTCTGATGGATCAGGTCTCTGAATTGGACAAATGCCACCACAGGAGAGGTGAGGAGGGCAGAAATTAGTAGGGGGGGAGCACAAGTACCCCTGAAAGCAGCAGCCTGCAGTGAAATCAGTTTAAAATATTATGTGTAATCTTGGATGTCATCACAGCCTTTCTTCCTTATCAGCACTTTATGAAGAGCAGAGCTGCCTGAAAGGGCTCTGGAAGGGCTACAACTCGCAACACAATAAATCTATCCACCTTTTTAATAGAGAAAATCCTTGGAAGGTGCCAGATCATGAAGTGATCAGCAGGACCTGAGTGATGAAAAGAGTGTGGGTTTTGGAGCACTGGCCATCCTGTTTTCTTCTGCAAATGGGTCTCTGTCCCAGATTCTCCCTTCTAGCCCCTGATAAAGACCGCTGTTCCAGGAGGTGATTTAGTTTCTTAAATGTGATGCTCATCTCTTGAGCAGGCTTCTGAGCAGGGCCGAGGTTCCCAGCCACCCGTGGCACTGCTGTTAGGAGTGAGGGTGTGTGTATCGTTGGTTTGCTTGTCCTTCTATGCCCAGCGCTTCTCCTTCTCTGTTGTGAACACACAGAAAGAACACTTTAGCAATGAATTATTCAGAATAGTGCAAGGGGAGGCTCTCCTGCTCCTGGGGAGCATAGGAAAACTAGCAGCACACATTAGGTTATGGTGATTCAGAGCCCAGAGGGTGCCCTTTTCCTTAATCCAGCTGATTGTGTAGGTTTGGAAGTGCTGAGCATCGCCTGCCCATGCAGGAGCATCTCAAGGGATGGAGACTGCAGTGTGAAGGTGCCGTTTCCCATGGAAGTTGGGCAGGAAGAATGAGCTCCAGCTCCCTACAAAGTAGATTAGGAAAATTGACCGACTCCTGCACTAATACGCTGTGATATTTTGAAGCTGAAGCAAAGTGTTAGGAAGAGGTAGGGATTGCAGAGCTGCCTGAGCAGAGGGGAGGAAGAGAAGCCCATTTGCATTTTTGTGGGATGAACCTTGTAACTGTAAACGAGCTGATGGAAAAGCCCCTCCGAGTTGTCCCGCGGGATATGGGTGCCAAGCCCTGTCTGCTGCCCCGCTCGCGGCTGGAGCGTGTGCTCACACGTGGGACCTGTGCAGAAGGCAGGCGCCCTGCAGGAGCGTTCGTATCGGTCCGTGGGTAGCGCTGGGACAGGGACGGCTGCTCTGCCAGCCTAGGGTGGCATTTTGTTCCTCACAGACTCTTCCAACCATCTTCTGGCTTCAAACAGCCTTTTCAAGCTGGTTACTCCCCCCAGAGTGTCACTTTGAGGAACCGAGGTGGGAGAGTGGGACTCACCAAGAGGGTTTCTGCAACTTCAGCCTTGTGAGTTTTTTTTTATAGAGCTTTAGTGCTTTGGGAGGATGATCCCAGGGAGCAGGGAGGGCCCCCCGAGTGACAGCGCTCGGAGCAGAAGGGCTTTGGGGGCAGCTGCAGGGTGCTGAGCGCCCTGCACCAAGGCTTTGCTCTGGCTCTCCTCACAGCCAGCCCCGCTCCGGGGATGCCGAGGCATGGCCGGATTCGCCGGCTTACTTTCGTCCCAACCCTTTTAACGTGAAACTGTGACTTTTTCAAAGCTAAAGCCCAGGCAGCGCTTAAAGGGAGTAGCTCCGAGTTAACTCGTGCAGCTCTTGCTCTGTCTGCAGAGAGCACTTGGATGAAAAGACACCCAACAGAGACGCAATTAGGAAAAACGGCCTCTGGACTTTGCTCCTTGTCCAAGTGTGTGCCAGAGATCAGATCCACTTGGGTTTTTGTAGCAGGTGGATAAGACCCAGTTAGGAATCGTTCTCCTTTATTTCAAGTCCACAGCCCTGCTTTGCCTCTGCAGGCAGCCATCCACCTGCCAAGCGCTCCGAGGACCTGATCAGGGACAGTGCTCCGAGAGGTTAAACTTGAAAAGCAACTTTGAGAAGGAACAAAGTGATCTGCCTTCGTGTCATACCCCCTCCGAGAGGAAGGAGAGGCTTCTGAAGAGGGACGGAGGATGCAAAGGTGGGAACAATGAGCTCGCCCACCTTTTCAAGCTCCGAACCTTGATGCTGCCAGCTGTCCTGTGCATATTCTTGATGTATATTGAGCTACTGGTGGATGATCTTGGAGTTACTTGGTTAGTAATGGATTCCTACTGTGAAGAGTTGTTGTGACTTAGAGCAGAAGTGTCATAGCTGGCTGTTTTAGTCTCAGAGGAGCTTAGTTTCCTCTGCCTCTGTCTTCCATAGGTCCTGTTTAACTGCAGTGAAATGAGGAAGGCTGTAGATTTACTTTGGAAAATTCTATTTTCCTCTCCTCAAACACCAGCAGCACAACCTAAATGAGTAGACAGAAGCTCACCCTACCCACTCTCGGTGAACTTAGCGCTCCTGGTGCCGACAGGGAGTGATTAATAAAGTCTGCTGGCTAATGGGCCTGTTTTTGACAGGTTTTGTGGTGCTTCCCGAGCATGAGTGCAGAATGAAGCGTCGATTGGATGAGCAGGAGTCACCTGTGTACGCGTCGCAGCAGAGACGTATCACGAGCAGCACGGAGGCTTTCCAGCACCAGCACCGCGTGCTCGCCCCGGCGCCGCCCGTATATGAGGCGGTTTCGGAGACCATGCAGTCTGCCACTGGGATCCAGTACTCAGTAACTCCCAGCTACCAGGTGCGTTGGTCGCTTCCACAGAGCTCCTGTGGTCGTGGCACGGTAGAAGTTCCTCAATGTGACCGTGCAGGTGTCTCTAAATATCAAATGTGGGGGGTATTGCTAAGGTTGTAATGGTTCTCCAAGACCCTGATCTCTGAATCCTTTTGGCAAGTGCGTGCAGGGGTGTTTCTTCCTTTTTCACTGGGAAGAAGCCTGTTCCTGTGATTGTTCTGCCACGGGTTTATAGTGTCGTGGATGATCTGAAGTTTAACAGACCGGACTGGATCAGCATCTGGGTTGGAGACTTTCAGAAAAATTGGAGTGTTTCGAAAACATTGGCCCATGCACTTGCTTCCCTAGCTGTTAGCTTGGGGAGGAAAAAGTGTACTTTAAGAATGCATATAAGATACCTCAGAGAAAGTCCAGGGAAAGACCATTCTTGTTGTTTGTCGTCGGCATATTCATGGCATTTTTTTGGCATATACTATGCCATGTTTTTATTGCTGGTAGCTACCTTTTCTGTCTTGTGCCTGATTGTAAACACAGTTTCCCCTTTAGCTCTGCAGAAAGGATATTCACACCCGTAACAGCAGACAAAAAGCTAAAGAGCTGGCAGGCAGGCACTGGCAGGGACGGGAGGAGGGTTCCAGATCTATTTGTTGCAGGCAGTCCTTGCTGCACAGACCTCGAATGGAGCAGCAAATAAGTTGTCTTACTTAGTATTAAAAAAAATACTAAAAATGACTCAGAAATTACTAAAAATGTCTAAAAGACACGTGAATAGAAAACAGTGATGATGAAAAATGATCAGTAGTTAAAGCTTCATTCACTCAAAATGCTGCGTATGGCGCTCAGCGCGTGTTCCTTGGAGCAGCGAGGAGGTTGAGCTGCGCTGCCCGGGCGGCCGCCCGCTCACGCTGTGTGCTCTCCTCCAGGTGTCGGCCGTGCCGACACGGCAGCCAGGTGGTGCAGAGCCACCCGCACCCGGCGCCGCCGGCCGTGCCCGTGCAGGGCCAGCAGCAGTTCCAGAGGCTTAAGGTAACGTCCAGCGTCACCGCGGGGGCAAATAAGCAGCAGGGGGGCAGGAGAGCTCGGCTGGGAGCTGCCGTGTTGGTAAACGGGTGGTTGAAACGGTAGCACATCAAAACTGGGGGAGCGGGAGAGGGGTGTCGTAGAATACCTAGCAGCAGGCACGGAAAACGTTGTCCCAAGTGTTATATGCTCAGCAGAAACTTGTCATTTCTGGACCGCAGGAAACTTGAAGGTGAGTTTTTTAGTGGCCTGGAGGAATGGGGAAAAGTTGTTGAAAATTGTTCACACTGCTGTTCTGAATCCTGGAGGCAGCTGGGGGGTCTTGCTCTGCTAAGTATGTAAGAGAAGCCTTCCTGCAAAGCCAGTTAAAAGCTTTCTGACAAGGCTTAGGAGCTTCTCCTTCTTGGGAGACTGCTGACGGCAGAAAGGGACTGCTGCTTCTGCCCAAACTGTATTGTTTCAAATACCTTCATAAAACTGAGGCTTGCTAGCCAAGGATGGGAGCAGAAAGGAAAAGGAAGAAGCATCGATCGGAGTCTTCGTGTTGAATAGGTTAAATTACAAAAATGTTTGGTGCTTTTCTGAACACGTGGCCTATGTGGGTGTGTGTGGGGGAGTAATCTGGGAGTAAGGAAGGCACTATTTTTGGAATACATGCCATAAAATCCTTTAAAAAGAGAAAAGTCCACCAAAAATAACCCATGAAAATAGTTAGATTTGGATCAGCTCGAGTGAGAGGGGGCCTATATATATGTATTTATGTCTATTTCTTCCACTCTTCCATGTATGGCACAGCATCTCCCTGTTTTGCCCTCTGCTTTGTTGGGTGAAATGGGTGAAAGACACTTTTTTTTTTTGTCCTCTAAGGAAGGATCTTGTTTCTAGAGACCACTGAGAATAGTTTCATAACCTGGGGTTCCTTCTCCCTATGAAATCTCATGGCAAATCCTGCTCTCCCTGATGCAAGATCAGGGCTGTACATCCTTTTCCTACTTGGCTGACTTTTAATTTCAGTATTTTTTATACAACAGAACAGCATCAAATTCAGCGAGATAGGTCAGATGTTATTGGAGATGGCTTCTATGGCCTCCAAGATCTCTTATGTGTCCAGGCTGGTGGGTGATGAAAGAAAAGACCTGTGAGCAGCTCTTGAGCCTTGTTAGCACGTGGCCTGGCTGTTGGAAATGATCGGTACCTGGAGCTCCCACTTTAGGATGTGGCTGTTCCTTCAGCATCTCTGAAAATTGGATGTTGGTACATGAGCAGTTCATAAACTTCTTGCTGTTTGAGCTATAAAACAATTTATCACCCACAATTGCCATTTTCGAAATCCTTCGATGTTGAAGTGAACTGTCTGGCTTTTAGAAAAAGCACAAGCGAGTACCTGGCAGACATCATCATCACTGGATATGTCATTTCCACTTTCTGCTTATTCTTACACTTCCATAATAGTTTCCACATATGAATGCAGAAAAAATACTCAGTCTACTTCTGTTTATCCTATCAGTGAGCGCAGTGACGTTCGATGGTAAATTTGGAATATGTGTTTTTTTCTGACTAAATCTGCTGCTTTGTGTTTTATTATTAATAGATTATATCTTATAAGCATCTGTTATTGAAATGGTGAAATGGTGCTGGGTACAGGCTCATGATCCCGTGCTCCTTAACTCCCTGCCCTGGCTCAGGGTTAGCAACTGTGTTTTCAAACACTTTGTCATTTGTAGAATGGTGGAGGTGAAATAAAATCTTTTCTGCTAATACAACCTGTCTGTTTTGTCTTCAGGTGGAGGATGCACTGTCCTATCTTGACCAGGTGAAGCTGCAGTTTGGTAGTCAACCACAGGTCTACAATGATTTCTTGGATATTATGAAGGAATTTAAATCTCAAAGGTAGGAAACTGCACTCTGCTGCGTCCTTGCAGATTAGAAAGAGCGTGCGTGTGTGTGGGCACAGAACAGGAGCTGAAATCTGACCTAGCATTTGCACAGTAACACACCTCCAGTAGTAGGGCAGGCAAGCAGTCATGCACTTTCTCTTCTGAAAGTTAAATTCATCCCTTCGTTTATACTAAATCTCTGCTTAGAGTGGGAGTTCACAAGTTCAGCCTTGACAGCTGATTCATCTGACTGTCTGGTTGTCTGCCCGCTAATAACAGTCAGACGCGCGAGTAGATCTCATAGATAGAAAATGCTGTTTGGACTAATAAAATGATTCTAGTGTCATTTTTCTGTAATATATTTGTAGGGATCAATTTAGCCATAGGTTCATCCTAGGTTAGAGATGGTAGGGTGGGAATTCTGTTGAAAAATTCTTATGTGGAGAATGTGTTGTGCCACTGAAAGTGTCCTGGAGGATTGTGACATTTTGATCTTACTCCCTCTTCAGTATCGACACTCCAGGAGTGATCAGCCGCGTGTCTCAGCTCTTCAAGGGTCACCCTGACTTGATCATGGGTTTCAACACTTTCTTGCCACCTGGCTACAAAATTGAGGTGCAGACGAATGATATGGTGAACGTGACAACACCGGGCCAGGTTCACCAGATCCCCACCCATGGCTTGCAGCCCCAGCCCCAGCCTCAGCCCCAACATCAGTCGCAGCCTTCGGCGCAGTCAACCCCAACACCAGCACAGCCGGCACCGCAGCCACCACCGGCCAAAATCAGTAAGGTGAGAGATTCTGAGTGACATGTGTTCAAATGTGGAAACCTACTGCCCCAGCTGCAACTGGAGCCGAGGGGAAGCATGATAAAGCAAATTTTATACATTTCTTACCTTGGTTTGCACTTCATGCTTGTGCACTACTTCTGTTCCTGGATTAGTTTCTGCTTTTAAAACTTTTTTTAGAGTGCTTACTAGTTGATATGACAGTAATAAAAATATGCAGCCTGAAACCTCAAAAAAGCCTTT